AGAGAGGAGGAGGAGGAGGAGGAGGAGGAGGAGGAGGAATCTCCAGGTTCCCTTCGAATTGAGCTCAGTGACACTTTCATGCGATTCTCTTGGAAAGAGCCTGGAAAAAGTTTGCCCCTTTGCAGGATGTTTTTTCCAACTCACAGCCCCGGGATTTCCTGGTGGTGTCCCATCCCAGCGCTAATGAATTCCCCCCCCCCCCCCGTTGAATTCCGTGGGGCTTCCCTGCAGCGCTCCAGAATCGCTGTCCTCCTCAGCAGCTGCCCTGCAGGGGCTAGGCTTCAACACCCATAGCCCCCTCACCATCATGGCATCAGCTGGGGATGGTGGGAAGTGGAGTCCCCCGCACCTGGAGGGTACCAGATTGGGGAGGCTGCTGTCCTCATGCACTCACAAGCAAGTGCCTTTAAGCTCAGGGGAGCTTTCTGCTGGTGGAGGGTCTGGGTGCGAAACACCTGCATGGCTTGTGGGTCATTTGGGGGCAGTGAGAGGAAGGCAGGAAGTGGCCCTTTGTTTACCCCCCGACTCAGATCTCACCGTGCATAAAAAGGGAGATTTGGGGTTCGCCAGTGCCACTGAGAGTGAGAGCGAAAAAGAACACCAGCCCTGCAAGGTCGGCCAGGGGAGGCAAGAGACCCATTGCCACCTTCGGCTTGCAATGCAAAGGAGGAGGAGAAAGTAGGTGGGAGGAACCCCCTGCCGGTTACCCCCGTGCTCCCACGTTCCCATCAGAAGCGTCGGAAGAGCAGGAGCTCCAGCAGCCTTGCGAGGTAGGCCAGCGTTACCCGGTCGGCGGCAGAAAAGGGCTTCCGAGGAGCCCGGAAGTTCTTTCTCCAAAGACAGTGGCGTCACCTCTAAAGTTTCCAAAGTCTGCGGGCCCACAGCGGCGCCACGAGGGCGGCCAGACGTCCCACTTCCGGGTCCCTCTGGCCCCTCGTCCGCCTTCTCTATGGCAAGAACCCTTCGCGCGGCTCAATCACATCATTAAACGTCGACGAGGGCGAAGGGCGGTGCTGCTTCCCGGAAGGGGCCTGGCGGAGAGCGCGGACGCAGGTGGGGGGCTGCGCGCGCCTCCCGTTTCCCCGCCCGCTGCTATGGAGAAGGGTCGGCTCCCTCGGGCCTGTTCTGGGCCGCCCCGAGACTGGCGGGCCCGGGGCCTGTGGGACTCCTCGCCGCCGGAGCGGGAATGGGCCGGCGGGGGCGGTCGGCGGGGGGGGTGCCCTGCAAGCCCCGCCGCCCATGGCGGCGCGCACCGCTGGC